TTTAGGGACGATTATCAATTCCTCCAAGCACAGTGGTCAAATATCCAGAAATGTGCCAAAGGTTTGTCAATCGATACAATATGGTATCCATTGATAAACAATATGGTACATATTGACCAAAATATTTGTCAGGCTTCGTGTGTATCATGTTGACTTTTGTCTCTATTAGACAAATTTACAATAAATGCACCAAACCTGGCCTTAAAACTTTCTTTTAGGCCAGAAACACAAAGTCACCTTGAGTTCGGCACTGTCCAGCTGCAGCAGCTGCTCCCCGTCTACGTTTTTGGCAGTGAATTCTGGGATATGGTGTTCTAAATTGAGGCCTGCGAGCCAGCGCGCCACTTGCTGCGAGGTCCAGTCCGTGATGCTGCGGCTCTGCCAGTGGTGCTGCTTCAAAGACTGTGCTTCATCTAAAATCTAACATTTGACACGACACAGAAGATGCAAAAAAAAAAAAAAAAGAAGATAGTTGAACCAAAACGGGATGACAAATGAGTCCAGATGAAATAAGCAGCAGTTAAATTAACAGTGAACTGACTGATTAATTGTTGTCATGCTTTGAGAAACGATGGATTTTTCAAATATAACATCTCTTTAAAGTGGAAATCTGTCAGAAACGAACGATAGCAAAACACGAAACGCAACACTCACGGACGAAAAAAAAAAAAAGTAGTTCAAGCACAATATGGACACAAAACTCGCATGAGCTCTACAGGCCGGCAGCTTTAGTCTCACCTCATCATCTATCATATCCAGACTCTGAACATTCCAGCAGCAGAAAAAAAAAAAAAAAGAGAGAGGACTCGTATCGTTAGCAGAGCAGAAATGAGTTAGCTTAAACTGCAAAAGCAGAAGAATATCTAACACACATACACACACGCACACACACACACACACACACACACACACACACACACACACATACACTTCCTCCTAAGAGGAAAAGAGTGTTTTCTTAAGTGTATTTTTTATTTTATTTTTTTACCTCATCCGAGGACAACACTGGGGTGTGTGAGCGCCCCGACACCCTGGTGGCGCTGAGCAGACCACTGATCTCCACCGAGCTGCTGCTGCTGCTGGCGCTCAGGTCGTCGCCCGCGGTCGGTGCCTGTAAAGTCAGAATTGCACTTGGTGAGTTTTGCAATGGGAGCCATCTGGCTCTGAGACAGAATTCAGCTGATTAACTGGAGCACTTTCGCTTTACTGATGGTTCGGCGCGGCGCTATTGATGTAAAGTAACTCGATGAAGCAATAGTGAGCGGGTAGTCGAATCAAGGGTGAGCGGCTGGGTGTATTTCTTAAGTAAAGAGAGGAAACGAGGAGTGAGTAAATCAGGGCAACGACTGCATATCAGGCGACATGCAGTCGTCTTGTGATGAAAAGTGTCTGAAAGTACAAATAAATTCAGATGCTAAATCACAACTCAAAATGTAAATGGGATTAGATTGGATTAAGCTGGATTGCTACAGGTGTCGCTACAGTGCTCTGCTAAAACACTCGCGTCCCGTTGAACCTTTGAACAGTTTGTCACATCACAATCGCAAATAAACCACAGAGTGTATTTTATTTTGTTTCACAGGCCATCACAAAATACGGCGTCATTGCAGAGGAGAAGAAAAGTAACTTTGTTGTTTGTTTATGCTTCTAAACATCCTATTTCATTTTGGTTAAATAGTTTATTTAATTTAGGGATTTTTATCCTTATGCATTACAAATACAAGCTGATGGCTGCGAGAGGCTGGAAAGGAGACGAGGTTTTGCCTTCCCGCAGAAAAAATGATCATGACAGAACGGCCCGGTCAAAGTCTAGACCTAAATTCAGCTGAAAATGTGTGGCAAGACTGTTCACAGACTTTCTTCATCCCACCTGACTCAGCTTGAACTTTTCTTTTTTTTTTTTTTTTTTAAAGAACTGAGAACAATCAGTCTCTAGAGGTGCAAAGCTGACAGAGACACGCCTCAAAAAGTGTATGTGTAACACACACACACAAAATAAATGTGAACCAGTTCGTCTTTTCATTCCAGTTCCTAGTTTGGCATTACTTTGTGCACATCTATTACACACAATTCATTTAAAATATACTGAGTCTGTAAAGTTAAATGGTTTCATTCAACCCTGGGATTGACATTACTCCTGAACTGAGAGCAGATGTCAAAGTCTGTCTTGATCAAATGCAATAAAAGATTTTGTCTTCAGCAGCTTAGAAGGATTATTTGAGCTTTGGCAGTGTTTGAGCTAAAAGTCAGACTAATCTCCCGGGTTAAGACTCTCAGCTCTGTAAGTCAAATCTTCCCCTAAAAGCTTCTCATATGCACATAAGTTCTGCTTTGATTCATCTTCTGATTTACACTCATCTTCAAATGAGCTCGTCCTCAAAGAGAGAGAGAGAGAGAGAGAGAGAGAGAGAGAGAGAGAGGTTGTTCAGGACCAAAAACGTAATCTCCTTCATTAATATTATGTTATTCACATCCGATAGAAACCGTTTCGTTGCAAAGTCCCACATGCAAAAACAAATACCATGAGCAAAATCAAAGAGTTAACAACTGATTCCGTTTGCAGATAATGATTCGTTTAAGGTTATGAAATGCAAAAATATGTAGTGCAAAAATAAAATAAGTTTTCTATTTTTCAGAGCTGCTGTAATTTTGGCTGAGGTAGTTTTGGAAAAAGCTAAAGAAGCCTCTTTTTCTTAAACTTGTATCACAAATAAAAATTGTTTTTCCAATGTCCTCTTTGCACGGCTGCCTGAAAGCGATTGGTCATTTCCGTAGCACAGAGGAAAGCTCGTTTACCTTATCCTTCGGTTTCTGCACACCGCCATCTCCTGGCGGTTCTGTGGAACTGGAAGAGAAACAAGGCGATAACATTAGATGGATTTACAGAAATACTAAACAGCTGACGAGACGAGATCGTCAGATCTTCGTTTTTATGCGATTCCTCTATCATATCAGCAAAGTTTGGCAATATTCATGTCACAATGCAAATTATCTCAGCTGCCCTATGTGTTCATCATCAGTGTTCATGACGTTTCAGGTCTCTGCTGGTGATCAACACATCTCCTCGCTCGACGTTTTCTCCCCAACTATCTCCTGAGCCAGATTTTCCATCTGCACTCTTTGCTCGCTTTGACTCTCCTAAAAACACTAACCTGATTTAATCTTTTGTTTTCTGCGATAATAAAGGATAACAGGAAAATAATGAAGCAGTCTTATTGTTTGTTTTTACCCAGGGTCCGGAGCTTGTCCGTGTTCGTCCAGGCTCAACTTTCCAACTGACTGAGAACCTGGAAAAAAAAAAAATGTATATTGAAATGAGAAAAATTCAAACATTGGGACACGGAAAAGAAGCATGCCAGTGGATGTACAGCAGATGTACCGACCATGTTGTGTTTTCCTGGGGGAACCGTCTTTTGAATCGCCGCGAACCAATCCAAAGCAACTGCGCGCTGGACTACCACGTGTCTCAGAAATCTGAAGACACACCAATAAAGACGGAAGTAGGTCACTTAGGAATAATGAAATAAGGCTAAATGGAGAAAATAGTGATGGTTGGTTCAAAAAAACTCATGTAGAAAGAAAAGTGTAAACATGCACCATCTTATCCAAACAACTAGGGCTGCACACTAATCTGACAGAAGTCTCTTGACATACTTTCCCCGCCTCCATGTCCAATTTCTTGTCCTTTTTTTTTTTTTTCTCTTTATGTAGGCGCCTTTGCTTCTGTGTTCCTGCCAGTTTTCATCTCCACTTGTTCCCTTAATCTGGACTCATTCCTGCTCTAGCTGAGCTAAGTGACAGCTTTAGCCACACGAGAGGCCAGCATCCAGAAAAAAAAAAAAAAAAAAAAAACCTTCACTGTGGAAGTTTTATACCCCCGGGGCAGGAAAAAAGGTTAGGA